CCCCCCCCGGGGCGCGGGGCGCCGAAGCCGAGGGCCAAGGCAGCACCGACAGGGCCAGCCCGGAGCATGGTGCTGCCCCTGATGGCCTGGGCAGGGCAGGCCTCCTGGGCACAGAGGACAGCACGAGGCCCCAGCTAACAGCAGCTGCCACCAGCCTGTTCCCCAGCCCACGGGTGGGGGTCTCGCTGCAGCAGACCTTCCAGCACGTGCTGCAGTGGGGTGGCCGGCTCAGCCATGTGCTCACAGGAGCCGACGGCCCCTCCCAAAGCCCTGAGCATGACCAGGGCCCTCGGGGCACCAGGGCAGGGCTGGGTGGCTGGTGGGGGCAGCTGAGCCAGGCCTCAGCGGTCTACACAGCTTCTGGCAAGGAGGACTTCCCCTTCACCCACTGGACAGCGCTGCGAACGGCCCCAGGGGATCCCAGCCCGTCTAACGCATCCTGCCGGGCACCAGCCAAGGGGCCCAGCAGCACGGAGCTGCAGCCTCTTGAGGCCAGGACTGGCACCAACACTACGAGCCCAGACTCTACCAGCGGTGCAAGGGGCTTGGGGCTGCCCGTGCAGGCCACAGCCAGGGAGTCCACGGGCCCCGGGGACCCCACGCTGCCACCGCCTGCTGCTGGAGACAGAAGCCAGCCTGTGTTGGAGGAGCCTGGCTGGGGGAAGGGTGCCTGGCTGGGCCGCCTCTTTGGAGCCACCTGTCCATCTGCCCGAGGCCTTCCCATGGAGCCCGACACCAGTTCAGCCAGACCCAGGTAATGCCCAGGTGGGGCTGGACAGTGGGAGCCCCCTGCACTGCGGCCTGGCTCTCTCAGGCTGCCCAGTGGAGCAGGGCCACAAGCAGCATCCGAGGGCTGGGTTGGCCCAGCAGGATCCACAGAGGGACCCTGGGGGGTAGAGGTGGTGGCAGAAGCAGCACACCTGCTGCACAGTCCTGTGCCAGGCATGGGCGAGCCCCCGATAGACACACGAAAGAGCTCTGAACCCCTGGCTCTGGTGTGACTTCGCCTGCCAGCTCTCAACTCTGCCACAGATGGAGCCGTGGGCAAGAGCCCCTGGGTCAGCTCGATACCCACTGCACTCGCATGCCCGGTGCCAGCTGTGCTCAGAGCCAGTGCCCGTCCCATGCAGTGCGCCCCAGCTCCAGGCCCGGCTGCTCGGGGCAACAGCAGAGTTCAGACGCTGCCTTGGAGGGTGGCAGGCTCAGCTCTTTCTGCTGGCATCTGCCTGGGGCTTCTCAGCCCCCATGGGGCCCTGGCCCCTGACGCCCTCCTCCCGGGTCCGGGGGGGCAGCGGGGGTGCCGGCCCGGCTGGCGACTCCCTCTGCTCTCCTGCAGGAGACCCTCCAGCTGGCTGCGCCCCCGCGTGAGCGTGCTCTCCTTGGTGAGGAAGGGGACGGCCCCTGAGCAGCCCTGGCCTCCAGAGCAGCAGAAGGAAGGGCCTGACTCACCTCAGCCCCACAGGTGAGGTGGGGCCTTTGGGTGCTTGGGGCTGTGTTGGGCAGGCTGCGGTGGCAGGTGTCCAAGCATATGGAGGGCTGGGGCTGGTCTTGGGTACAAGCGGCTTCATGGCCCCAGGTGACCCGGGCTCGCACCCCTAATGCTGCCTCTTGTGTACAGGGCAGTGCGGGCGCTGTGCGACCATGCAGGCGCCGGGCACGGCTACCTCAGCTTCCGCAAGGGCGACGTCCTGCAGCTCATGGCCACCGTGGATGAGGACTGGATCCGCTGCTGCCACAAAAATGACACAGGCCTCGTTCCTGTCAGCTACACTTCCCTGATCGTGTGAGGGGGTATGGCAGGGAGCTCCTAGCTCTGCCCCTGCCCCAGCTCTGCAGGCAGCTGTGGGGGCACCCCAGGCCAGGGGCTGGCAGGGGCTGCATGGCACTGTCCCTCACGGGCACAGCCTGGCAGTGCCCTCCCTGCTGGTGCCCGGCTGCCCCGCCATGCCTGCGTCATCCTGGCTGTGCTCATGGGCTCCTGAGGCCCCACGGCCGTCACCCTCATGCTGCCCCCATGCTGCTGCTTGTGTCCTGCTGCCTGCCACCTTGCATGCCGTGGGCGGCCCTTCCCTCCATGGCCACGCCAGAGCTGGGCTCCCACTGTCCCCTGGAGACAGCTGTGCCCACAGAGCCCAACGTGCAGCCTTGGGTGCGGGTGGAAATAAAGATGTGTGTGCAAGGCAGGGTGTGTGGCTGTCTCCTTTCTACCAGGCCGCGTGAGGACCTGGGTTGGGCGTGCAGGGCCAGGCCACAGGACCGGGGATGCTGGGGTTGGGGGGGGCAATCAGGGAGCTCATGGGTGCAGGGCATGGAGGGGTTTGGTGGGGTGCTGGCAGTGATGCATGAGCTGAGTTAGACCAGGGCACTGGGGGCAGGATGGTGGAGGAGTGCTGGGGGATGTGCAGCACCTCCCTATATTTGCCTATAGGGATTAGGTGGGGTGAGGTAGTGGGAACAATGTGGTGGGGGTGAGGGCTTGCATGGAGAGAGGGAGGGTGCCATCAAATTGGGGGAGGGCAGTGCAGAGGGTGCCAGAGTAGGTGCAATAGGAAGCACAGCAAACCCCAGCTGGTTGGTGTGGGTGGGTGTATGTGTGGGTGGGGCACGAGAATGACTGCATAAGAGTCCCCATGTTGCAGGGGCTGTGGTGTGGCTCTTATACCAGAACATTTGAGAGCTTTGGGGTGGCAGGCATGGCTGTACTTGTGATGTCCCCACCAAACCCTTCATATGTGCAATGTGTGGACCTCACTACAATGCAGATCACCCCCCACCTCACCTTCCCCCTACAGGCAATGGCCAGGTTCCTGGACAGACTGATTTGGGGGGGGATGGGGCCTTTGGGACATTGCTGGGGACTGAGATCACCAGTGCTCTAGCCTTGTGTGTCCCCCCACCTGCTTGAGCCATGTGTGTGCACATTTGTGGGTGGGAGGAGGCAACCCAGGCTGCCTGAAGTACAGGAGGGCCCAGCTCATGCTGTGCTTCCCTTCTCTTCACTCAAGTGTTTGTGTGTAAGGATGGGTAGACCCCCTTGGGGACAAGCCCCTTCTTGTTTTGTGCAAGCAGCTCCACATCAGTCTGCTTCCCCAGGCAGGAAGCTTTCCTGGAGTCTCTGGGGCCAGCACAGCCCTGTGAGCAGCTGGAGATAAGCCAGCAATGACCTCAGACACGAACCAGTCATTTCTCGCTTGTGAACAGCAGAAGGCACAAATGAGCACAGATCTAAGGCAGTTGCAAGGCCAGTGTCAGCCTCAGGTGCATTACTTACATCCACCGAGTCTGCAGCTTGTGGCAGAACATCAGCACTAGGCTTGGGTGGGGAGCGAAGCCTTTCCAGTTCCAGCGTCTGTGGGCTCGTGACCCACCCCCTGCTCTGGGTGCAGGTCAGGGCTGCATTTCCTGCTTGCTGCAAGTGAAAGTATTGCATGCAGGAATTTCTCTCCAGCAGTGCTAAGCCCCAGAGACTGAGCCGAGAGCTCCCTGCTGGAGAGCTGCTGCTGGCATTTCCTTCAGCACGAAGCCTGTGGCGTGCAAAAGCATTCTCTAATTTGAAATGCTGAGGGCCAAAACATAGCTGGAGCTGATGATGCACTAGTTACGCCCTGGCATCACCACTGTTCTCTTCCTGTTTGGATACAAGGGAGCCTCACCATCTGGCCGCACAGACTGCAAGAGCCAGATCCTCAGGCCTGGGAAAGTAGGTAGCTTCTACTCCCAGGGGCCAGCTCCCTGCCAGCATAGCCTAAGTGACTTTTTTGGACCAGCTCTTTCCAACCCTTTAAATTACTTTAATGACACATGAGCCCATGTTTTTGGATCTGGTGCGTGTTCTGCATGGCAAGATAAAGAGCTTTTATCTTGTTCCGTTTTCATTTCAGCTCTGGAATTCGTAGGCAGACACAGGGATACTGCATTTGAAATGGAATATTATTCTGCTTGCAATGTGCCTTGGGTAGGTTTGATTGAACTTCATAACCATCTCTGGATTTTGAAATGGGGCTGGGCTGGCAGGAGATCAATCCAGGTACTGTTCAATTAACTTTTTAATACTACAGCCCTGGAGGTGTGGTCTGCAGTGAGAAGGGAAGGCAATTAAAGTGGGTCAGAAGCATTTAAATGGTGGTTCAGCAAGTCAGCATAGACAGCTGTGATCCACTATCCATTTGCTTCTAAAAAAACACCATCAAGAAACCATTCTGTCCTGTGCGAGAGACAAATGGACAGCAAATGTGTTTTTGGAAACCGCTCCATTTCCCTGGGAAACATAGGAATTCCTGAATGTAAGGGAGGTCTGGAACAAGAGAAGAGCAGCCGAAGCACCTCAAAGAATGCAAAACAGCCTTCTGAACAGGAGAAGGTCCTAACCCAGGGGACAATCTGCAGACACCTTGCCTCACAGTGCCAGCAGCTGAAGCAGTGTGAGAGAAAGGACTCTGCAAACTTGAAGGAGCCACAGGGAGGTCATGGAATCAAAAAAGTAGGGCCGGAAGGAACCTCAGGGGTTCATCTAGTCCAACCCCTGCTTGAGAAAGGATCGTCCTGAAATATCCCCAAGCACCTGATTTCTACATCCCAGGGGTGTTACATGTTCCAGCCTCACAGTGTTCCAAACTGTCAGGAAGGAGCCAAGAGACCTGAGAGAGGGGAGTAATACATGGCTAGGCCAACAGCTCCAAGGAAGTCAGGCTGCCACTTGCACTTCTGAAGTCATTTGCTTTATGGCCCCTTCCTCTTATAGGAGTCATAGTCCTTCACCATGACAATGCACTACCTGGCACACCCTCCAATCTACCATTTGGGGTAGCAAGTATGCTGCGTGTGGTGCCAGTCAGTGTGCACTTTCTGCAGTCGACAGAAAATACCTGTTTTGGATTTAGCAGAAACTGGGGTCCTGTTCTCAGGGTGTGGAATGTCCCTTCAATTTGAGCATGAGCATCGCATGCCCATGAACGTGGTTTAATGATGTACTAACCTGCCAGCACATCCAATCAAGGTTAAACAACTGTGCTCCCTAGCTTCCTAACAGTGAATGCCTTAGCTGAATGCTGCTGCTCTGCCTGGGCTTCTGCATCTTCACTGCAACTCCTACCAAGGCGGACTAAACACGCAAACTGCCAGCGTGCTCCCCACCGCAATCTGCTTGGCTGCAGAAAAACATCAGCACCAAACGCAGTGCGCCCAGAATGCCAAAATTTATCAGCCAATGAATGGAATGGGATATTCCCAAGGAGATGGAGCAACAATTCTATTTTAACAAGGGTTGAAAGCTCCTCTGAACACATGACAGGAACTGTTGAAACAAAAGAGGCAAGAGAGTGAAATCAAAGACATCAAAGAAAACCCCACAAGTCATCAATAGGAAAAGTTTTTCCATTTAATACTAGACTCTCTCAGGATTGAGATGCAGGCTTTTTATGCAATTACATCCAATGTTAAAATTGGTAATACATAATTTACAAAGATTAACATCAAAACAATGATCTATTTAGATATGCTTTGTAAAAAGGAAATATATTAGCAGCATTTATTTTCAGCAATCACACAGCCTACACCCATGCAGACTAAGAGTTCGTATCTATTTGCAATAATGTAGTGCTTCCTGGTCTTAAAACAGCGATCCTGGTGACACACTGGTCTTTTCATTATTATAAAATAACCGAAAAATAAAAAAAGTCATTAATTTCTACACCAGTAAGAAAAACAATTCTTTGCACTTACCTAACATTTGATTGTCTAAAAAACATTTTGTTTAGTCTTTCAACAAAAGAAAGATAAAATGACAGAGCTAGTGTCTCGCTTCTGTACGCACTTTATTTTTTAAAAAGTTTTTAGTGTTTAACACCATTTGAGACAATGATTTCTGTTTTAAACTAAATGAAACAACTCAAGATTTTGGACATGCGATATTCCTACTACACGCATGAGTATTTTATACTCAGGGTTCCTGGTACTGTACAGTGCTTCTCTACAGTAAGAAAATATTCCAAACTATTTTCTTATTTCTTTTTTTTTTAATAAAATATTTTTTTCTCAAAGGGTTTTTTCCTTTCTTTTTTTTTCTTTTTAAATCAACACATAAAAGTTAATGGAATGAGTCATGTTCCACTAAGAGTAAAATAATAATTATAATAATAACAAGAATGTACATTAGGACAAGCTTGGTCCATTAAAAAGGAACATGTAACTACCGTATTGCTTTACATCCACGCAGCAGATATATACAACTTGGCACATTAAAAACTGTTTTCTTATAAGAACATCTAAAACAGGACTGTATATGCATATGTATGTCTGAAAGACAAAAAAAGCAAAGCCATTTTAAAGGGGCAGTGTAAGCCTACTGCACCCTCCCTTTGCCACTAACTGGGATTGACCCAGAGACAGATAGATGATAGCTTCACGGCACTGGATATTGGGGAAGGTTACATGTAATACAGTGGATCCTGGCCCAGCACTAGTTTATGGTAAACTATGGCAATCACAATTCATGCAGTGAAAAGTCAGCGCCTTGGCTGTAGCTTTTGGGTACAACACTTTAATGAGGGCAGAGAGAGGGAGGGGTAAAATACACTGTCTCTTTAAGAGACGGACGTTTCAGCTGTACAGGTAGAACACAAGAATAGTGTTATCAGTGGATATATTCTACAGGTCACAACAAAGACGCGCTCTGAATACTGCTTGACGGTTCATGTAGTGAGGGTTTCTTTTTTTTTCTTTTTTGTTTCTTTTTTTCTTTTAACAGGTTTTAAATTTGCACAACACACTGGACACACAAGAACCACAGCTTATCAAAAAAACCAACAGCAATGGTGTCGTCAGGATTCAACCTGCTTTATAAAACTTCTCTGCAGAAAAAAAGTGAAAAAAATCCCCCCTCCCCCCCACCCCCTTTCAGGATGTGGAACAAGTGCCTTGAACAGCCAACTGTCGCTCTACTCCTAGATGACCAAGGATGTTTCCTCTCTACAGACCAAAAGGAGCATCCACGCACTGGCCGTCCCATGGTAAGCATTTTGCACATTCTGGTACACTGCTTTCCCCTCTGAACTTGTGCAAATTGGAGGCCACACCTTTAGGGTAGCCTTTATTTTAAGCCACTGGGCTTTCACCCTCGCTATAGACTTCACATACTGGTGGTGTCAACAGTATCTTGTACAATCACAGGTGAGCTGGCGA